GTGGAAACTTAATGTCTTCATACCAAATGTTTCTAATGGCAGCTGTCTGTCCTTTGAGAAGAACATGTTTATTCCCAGCTCTGCCCTTTTAGCCTACTGAATGCAAGATGTTTCGGCTCTATAGAAACCCCTGACGCTTTTCTTTCCTTTGTAGTCCTAACCTAAGACTGGAGGGCAGAAAGTCAATAACTACTTGATGGTGACTGAGTATTGTTTCTTCTAGCAGGGCTTCAGCATGACCTCACATTATTTTTTTATTTTTTTACTTACCTGACTTTAGTGTTCCACTTTGATGAATACAGCAGTTTTCATGGAACTCTACAGTTACCAATTTCTCCCTCAGAATTGACTCCTCAGAGATAGACTGTAATTTCCCATTGATTCTGTTGAATTGGTTGGGCTTTCCTATGTCATTACAGATAACTTGGTCTTGTCACATGATGTTAAGGTTGCCCTATCCAAGTGTTGCTGATAAAACTTGTTTAAATGCTCAGTGTAATGTCTGTAGCACACTCATATCTCCCACTTTCTCAGACGATTGGATGGCACGGACTTCAAGGTTGATCGCAGCTTTAAGCCTCAGTTATTCAAAAGACTTTCCTACCTAATCAGCTGCTGTCTCACATCACTGAGACTCATGGCTATAATTCAACAGTTTACAAAGTTGGTACAGTCCAGTCACCTATGTACTAACTTTGTAAAATTGTAGTGTCTCTTGCCTATTAGACCATGATGTGAAAAGTATATAATAAAGGTAGTAGGGGTCCCATCTTATAGTTCTCTCTTTCAGTCTGGTTTAGTTAAGGATATACCTGGTGAAGGCTGATAGGATGAACTCTCTCTACTTCAGGGTGATGATTTAAATTGAAATGCTAGACTTGCCCTGAAAAATGACCCATAATCTGGAACAAGGCCTTAAAAGTAGAAGAGTCCAGTGTCCTTGAGAACATTATAAGTAGGGTAGTCAAGTGGCAAGGGCACCAGGAAGCTAGCAAGTGGTACAATCAAGCGGCCTTGAACATTTTTCTTTTTTTGGTACACTAGTATAATAATGGCATTGAGAGCACTGTTAGTCTTTAAGTAATGCTGAGAAGTAGTGGTGCCCCCCAAAAAAGGAGGGTTTTTCCTCAAAGATGTTTTCTTCCCTACAGAAATAGATGATGTCCTTTCAGACCGGCTGGCTCATGCAGTAATTTCTTTGACATAATTTTCCAAAGTCTAAAGACTAGACAATGGCCTTAATTAAAAGACCAGGTGAAAATCATATTCTAAGAATAATTCCAAGTATCACCTATAGATAAGTAGTCATCTAAATACGAAATATTCACTTTCTTCCTCATGTCTCTGATATTTCTTTTTTCCCCCCCATTTTAATTATGTAGTCTACTAATCTTTAAAATTAAAGTAAGAAAATTTGGGGTTGTCAGAGATGTCTTCTGTTGTAGGCCAACTGACATCATCATCAATCCCAGAAGACTGTTCTTAGATCCCATCTCCATAAATTCCCAGTTTTATAGCTTCCCAAAAGTCCATAAAGTTATACTTTTGATGCCTCATGGTAAATCTCTGTATCTGAAGGTTATGCCAATAGAATATGAGCTTGAATGTGTTTTATCAAGCTGAACAGTCTTACATACTTACATACATATATGTAAAGAGAAGAGGTATGTTTTCCAATTGCCAGGTTAGTAAAATATTAGTCTCAAGTCTAGAAGTGACTTGGTGATAACTTGTTTTGCTATGACAAGCCATGTAACAAAGAAAGATACAAAATGGTCATCAGCACCTTGTGCTTTTGCAGGCAATGAGTCATGGGTTTGGAGTTGGAAGTCTTTTTAGATTCCATGAAGCCTAACCCCTTCATTTTACAGATAAGGAAATTGAGGCTCAGAATGGTTAAATGACTTGCCCAAGGTCAAGCTGAATTGAACTTAAGAGTATAACTCTAAAAAGCTGCATAGTTATATTGCAGTGAAGGTGACAGTAGGGCAAAAGAGGGCCACAGAGTTCTAAAAAGCACTCGTTTTTTAGACTTTTTATAAAAATCAACTTTTTTTTATGATTTGATTTGTGATGCCATTGATGGAAAGTGTTCCCCTCACCAAAACAGATTACCACTAACTCAGTCATTTATAATCTTACTGAATTTCCTGGAGGCACTGAGAGGTTAAGTGATTTGCCCTGGGTCCCATAGCTAGTAGGGTATCAGAAGGGGGACATCCAGTAACTTAACTGTAAGTATTTTACCTGATTACTTTCTCCAATGTTCAATAAGTAGAGAGCCTACCAGAAGGACTGAATCATATCAACCTTGAAATTTTCACTATAAATGAAACTAGAAGACGAAAAGCAGTTAGACCATAATAGAAGTATGGCTCAGAGGATTTACTTAGGAGGCAAATAGAAGACTCTGCAGACCTGGTTTTACCATGTCCAAAGCCAACCACAACCACAGCAGCATCAACACCAGGACAACAGCTGTCATTTATGTAATACTCCAAGGTATGTAAAAACTTCCCGATTATATTTTATTTTATGCTCACAACAAGCCTGGGAGGTGGGTGCTTTTATTATCCCTCTATTACAGGTGAGGAAAGTGAGACAGACAGAGGTTAACTAACTGCCAGGAGTCACAGAGCTAAGAAGTCTTTAAGACTGTATTTGAACTGAGGTGTCCCTGACTCCAGGCCGGTGGGCCACCCAGCTGCCATAGCATTTTAACATTGTTTAATGAGGCACATAGTCATTTTATTTGCAATACTCCTGATAAATAATAGCAAAAAGAACATCATGCAGATAATTTCAGTATACTCAGCAATATATGCTGCAGGCATGAAAGGTAGAGAAAAATCTTGTAAAGATCTTTGTAACACTTTCCAGATTAAACATGTACTTGAATACTTAGTGACTCCACTATAAAGATGTGCATGGAGAAGAAGAGAGAAAAATATGTTCATTCATGCATTCATTCATTCACTCATTCAACAAGCCATTATTAATTATCTACCAGATACTTACTACATTAGGCACTGGGGAATTACATACTGGAGATACAAAACAAAACTCTCTGTCCACAAAAAACTTAGATTCTATTGCTGAGAATGTATTATATAAAATAAAATGCAAAATACATACACATTTTTTTCCCAAGAATAGGGTAGTAGGGATCAAGGAGAACAGGAGAGAACAGGAGAGATCAAGGAGAAAGAGACATACCAATCTTTATAGGAGACTGGGGAATACTAAGACTGGGAGTGCATACCAGTCCTAGGAGATGGCCTGTGAAAAGTTAAGGAAACAGGAATTGGAATGCCCTGACCAAGGAATAGCAAGAAGGTTATTTTGGCTAGAATATGGAGTGCCTGAAGGAGAATGACTTGCCATAAGCCTGAGGAGGTAGGACGAAGCCGCATTGTAGAAGGTGTAAAAAAAAATGGATTCTATTTTATGCAACAGGCAAATGGGAGTCATTAGAGCTTCTTGGTCAAGGGAGTGATATAATCAGACTTCTGCTGTAGGAGTATCATTTTGGCAGCTATATGGAAGATGGACTGGATGAGGGCAGGGACTAGAGGCAGAGAGACCTGTTAGAAAACTGTTGCAAAAATTAAAGTAGTTCATTCCAAATCAACTGTCAAAGATATAAACTATACCAAAGTAAAAGACAGAATAAATATGAGGTGTGACATTGAGAAGCAATTCCAACCTGACCTACTCAAACAAGCTATTGGCTCTGTAAAACAGGAAGAATGAAAGGACATTGGCATTTCTTAAAGAAGTGTAATCAATCAAAATCAGCCATCACCATGCAGAAGACAAGAGAACTTAGCACTTAGGAACTTAAACTTCATTTTTTTAAAATTTTGGTTTTAAATTGTAGAATAAAACAATCAATTCTAGAGCATAGTGTAATTTAAAAAAAAAAAAGATAATTGTACATAAAGTTGGATTTTGCCCCTATCACAGGCAAAGGCTTTTGTTTTAATTCTCAGAAAATGCAGCGATGGAACAATGAATCATAGACATAGATTTAGAACTGGAAGGGGCTTTCAAAATCATCTGGTTCAACTCCTTCATTTTACAGTTGAGAAAACTGTGTTTCACAGATGTTAAACGGTTTGCTCAAGGTCATGCAGGCAGGAAATAGTTGAAAGCAGAATTTGAATCCTGTGTTTTGACTTTAAATTTAGCACATCACTGTACTACAATGCCTCAATCAATACATCATGTATGGCCTTCACTCTAAAATGAGTTTTATATTATCTGTGAATGGGGATGGCTTAAACCTTCTAAATTAATTTCAGCACATTGTTCAGTCACATTCTATAATGACATTTAAGGCAAGTTATTCTCCCTGAGAGACTGCCAAGAGAAAGAGGGAACAAGTAAAGTTTGGCTTCTCATTATTAAAAGACCTCTAGCATCTCAACACTACCTACAGCGACCCATTGTTTATAGGTATGTAAAATAAATAACAGTAAAGGGTCTTGGGATGATGCTTGTCAAAGCAGTTGCATAGACTAAACATGATATACAGATCTGCCCAGCCCCAATAATTATAGAGGATAAAAAGGCCATAAAACACAGTACCAAGTTGATCCCCTTCTATTCCTAGAAACAGAATTTTATTGCCACCCCCACCTCTGCCCTCAAACAAACTTCAAATGCACAGATTCAGAGAAGAATCAATCTATATGGTTCCAGTGTGAAGATATACAAATAACCAATGTACTTTTAAGAAGACATTCCCATTAGCAGTAATTGTGAATCTATTAGTGTCTTATCTTCCATTCATCTGCCCATAATGTTCACAAGATTGACATTAAAGACATTAAAGCCAGATATACACAAAAGCCCCAAAGGCACAAAACTGATCTTTGCTTATTCAAATGACAGGACATACCCAAAGTGAAGTAGGTTATGACCAATGGTGTTAGCCAACTTTTGCATAAGATTATATTATTATTATTATTATTTTTACATTCATTCCATCCAGAGTTATTTTGAATTACAGTTTTCTTTATCAAAGGTTCAGAGACAGTAGGACTGAGTGAGATCAGACAGGCAGGTTCTCTGAACAGCCTGGCTTGGATTTCTGCTGGTGCTCCAATCGGTTCAAGATGAACTGACTAGTGTCAAGAAAGCGCTCAACACAGTTCACGAAACAGGATTCTGTCCTACTGTCCACCTTGGTCCCGGCTTATCCATACACTTTTCCCAACACATTTCAGTCATTTGGTGGACCAGCTGCTGGAACCGCTGCCTCTGAGCTTCTGCCTTGATGAAATTCTGCAGCTGTGGGTCCACTGAGCCCTGCCCCTCCCAAAAGGATAAATCCATCCCTGCCAGAATCTTGGCAGTGGAGCCAAGCAACAGCTCGCCAACCTTTACGGGTCTCTGAACAGAAAGAGAATAAGGACCCGCCGGCTTGTGGACGGCGCCTGCACAGGAATACCCAGACCACTCCCCAGTTGGCCAAACTAATCTAATCCCGAAGCAGTAAATCCTAGGGATCCTCACGCAGCTGCTGTAGACTTGCACAACCTTTCTGAGACCTGCCCCTTTTAGAAAATCTCATCTACCCGCTGGTGGAAGGTTGTGAATAGCATTACCTCACAAAGAGAGTGGGGTGGTGGAGAGTGGAGAGGGGTTGCTCATGGACAGAGAGTCAGGCTATAAATTACGGAGTCCTGGGTTCAAATTTCTCCTCTGTCCTCCTCTGTGTGACCTTGGGCAAAATACTTAAACTCTTCATATGTAGGAAAACGTTTTAAAGACTCCAAGTTTTAGAACACTTGCTGATCTTTGCCTGGGGAAAGTATTCATTAGGAGCTCCAGTACACCAATGGAATTATAGGTTCGGATTGAAGAAAATTTTTTTTCTTTTTTTTTTAAAAAGCACCATAATTTTCATACCCACCCTCCACCCCCTACACACACTCACAGACACACACACACACACACACACACACACACACACACACACAAAAGAGGTCATTACTAGGCTTTAGAAGGTATATAGTTCAGTTCCTTTGTACGCATGGATGAAACTAGAAAGAAAAAGGATGAGAAGCAGTCCAATATAGTGGAAAGAGTGCTTCATCGGGAGTAAGAGGGACTGAATTTGAATTCCACCTCCATTTATGAGACTATTGGTCAATTCACTTTTCCTTTCTAAGATTCAGTTTTCCTCATCTGTGAAATAAGGAGGTTGAATTAGATTTCTAAAGGTGATAAGTAACCTTAAAACCTATGTGTCTGATCTAACATGAATAATGGAATAATCTATATAAACTTTGGTACATTTTTGGGGGAGGTGCTTCCTGCAAGATGGTTGTTCACTTCTTCCCAGCTCCCCTATATCCCTTTATATAATATAATTTAAAAAAATAGCTTGCCTTTTTCTACATCCACATGCACCCATATCTAGTATCTGCAGTGTGGTCTTTTCTTCTTGCCTTGGAAATTTTTCTTTTGGCAGATTCAACCAGATTCACACAGTCCAACCCATCAGGGAAAGGACAGTGAAACCCCCTAGGCTGCTCAGGAGACAGCAAGTAGTCATGGATGGGGAAGTGGGGTCGTCAGGCTGGACCTGCTTCCACACTTTCTAGAAGTGAAATGAAAGGACTGAGTTCTGCCAAGATGACTAAATGACATGTGTCTAAGCCCAGATCCCCTCCAGCATCTTAAAGTAGCAGGAAATACATAAAACAGAATAAAGAATGAACAATAAATGGCTAAGGACAGAGAAGAAATAATTGTCACAAGAAATTCATCACTGGAAAACCAGAAGAAAAATGGATTCACTAAAAAAAAGTAATTAAACATCAAAACAAATTATTAAAATATGAATACTACAAAGTTAGATAAATTGACTCAAAACACCTGATGAAAAGGGAAATGCCACAAGAAAGGCCACAAGACCCTTAGATATGAGTATAGAACAACTTCAAGAGCCTTCAGAATATTTCAGAAGAGAGCTAAATAATTAATAAATAATAATATATAATAAATAAATAATGTATATAAATAATATATAATAAACATATATAATAAATAATGTTTGAAATTGGTAAGTAAAGTAGAGCTCTCAAAGAAAAAATAAAAAAGAGAAGAGTGAAGGATCTAAGGTAAACACTCTCAACATATATAAATTCTTTGAAAAGGAAATCAGCACATTTGCAACTCAAAAATGCTGAGGTAAAAGGAAAATTTGACAAAACAAAATCAAAAGACAAACAGTTTGGAAGAATACACAGCATTTCTACTAATTAGGGCAACTAACATTGAAGTTAGAATTTGAAGTTACAGTCTGATAGTGGTAGTGAAAAACACTTTAAATAAACAGCCTATCATACTTAGGAAATTTATGCAAGAAAACAAACTTAGAAATAGAAGGCAGAAACTATAGGAAGCTAGAAGAAAAAAATCCAAGCTTAATTTACCAATAGACTTCATAGCCAAGAGTAAGAATTTCAACATCAAATTAAAAAAAATACTACAGGCATAAGGAAGAAACCCTTTACATAACAAGGAGAAATAGTTTGTGTTGTCCCAAATTACTCCTTGCTCATGAAAAATAAAGGGGAAAACAGGAATATGTTATCCCAAAAAACAAATGAGATTAGTCTCCACATGAAAACCACATATCCTTCAAAAATTAAGCTTAATCATCAATGATAAAAGATGGACCTCTAAATAAAATGGGAACAGCAATTTATTTCATTCATTACAAAGAAACTTGGCATGAGTAGCACACATGATGTGCAAAATCATTTAACATACATGAAAGATGTGTCACTACACAGGACAATGCTTATATTCTTCTACAGAGTAGTCAAAACAATTTCATAGATAGGGAAGTGGGGAAAGTCATGACTGGGATATCTGAGGAATCAATGCTGCCTGGCCTGTGTATCAGAGTATGATAAGGAGAGCTTATTCCCCCCACCTCCAGCCTCTATCTGTGATTGGGGGACACAAGGAGAGCAGGCAAGAGTAATGGTGTGTGGGGGAGGGTGGAACCTTTTTCCCTTTTGACAGAGAGTCAACAGAATACAACAAAAGGATAAAACTCTGAAGACTCTTACACTTTTTTTTCAACTTTGGGGTGATGCAATAAAGCCTGAAGCCTGGGTTACTTTATCGGTAATGAATATTTCATAATACATTCATCTCCAGGCAGGACTCTCTTGATTCCAATGTCTCCCCTTTGTTGATTATTTCAAATTGATCCTATATGTGGTCTGTTTACATGTAGTTGCTCTCATGTTGTCCCCTCCATTAAACTGTGAACTCTTTGAGACACATCCTCAGCACTTAGCACAGTTGCTAACACATAGTAAATGCTTCATAATTTGTTTTTAAACTGACTGACTTCCAGGCACCATGTTTGATCTAGGGTAGAAAATTCTGTGCCTCGGAGAATCTTGGCATGGAGAGACAAAGGTCCAAAGTGACGAATTGCTGGAGAGCCTAGGAAATGGAATGAAAGTACTTTGGATTCAGCCCAGTCCTTTGATTCTGGATATAGAATTCCTTCTTATTGCTACATTGCCTTTTCCATGAGTTAATATTTTGGGGGGAATTGGTTGGGGTAGGAGCTTCTCAGATGAATTTCTTTCAAATAAATTTATTTGGTGATTAGTAATCACATAATTTGCTGGACTAGATGGAAAAAAATTGAGCAAGATAATGAACTTGTAATAGACCCTTCTTGTATAAGGTTCATAGGAAACAAAATAAAAAAACATATAAAACCAATAAATGAAGAATTAAATTCTTGTATATTTTAGTTAGGGAAAGGAGAAAAGAAGTGGATTACTGAACCTAACATTTTAAAAAAGCATATCACAAATGAATATTCTTCATAATAAGAAAGGGGATGATGGGAATAGAGTATGTTTACTACATTCCCATTTAGACTGAAAAATTTGCAAAGAGAGGAACAGAAAAGGGGAAAAAGAGGGAAAGAATGAGTACAGAAATAAAAGGATATCCTAGAGGCAGGGTAATTGGACAGAGAAGGGAAAGAGCTGTAGGAGGAGACTGTGAGGAAAACAAAAATTCAAGGACTTAAATTACACAAAACAACACAAATTAACATAAGAAAACACAGAATTTATCATGATAACCTATAATGTCAATGGATTAAGTTGGCGAACCAAGGAAAATGGCAGAATGTATAAGAAAATAAAGCCCAACAGTTTGCTGCATATGATTCCTATTTGAGATGTAAAGACTCAACACAGAGTCAAACTGAGGAGGTGGCATAAAATTTACTGTTTCAAGTGACTCCAAAAAAGCTGATTTTGCAATCATAATTTTAGGAAATCCCACAGTCAAAATAGATACTATGAGTAGGGAAACTATATTATACTTAAATTGCCAACAGATAATGAAACAATTTTATTATTAACTAAATCAACACATGCAAACACAAACATACATATATATATGAAACACACTCATCCATATATATACATATATACACACACAATAAAGTTATCTCAACATCACAGAGTACATATACAAAAACTAGTCATTTGTTGTGATATAAAGAAACCATAAATAATTGTAGAAAGACAGACACATTAAACACATCCTTTAAAAACCACACAACACAGTAATCATAGTAATCAATAAAGGACATATAAACAAAAGACAAACACTTAAATAGAGGTAAATCATCATAAGTTCAAGGTAGATGGTAGATTTATATCCATCACACATGGTGGATATAAAGAGTCAAGCCAAGAAGCATTTTTAAGTGTATGCTATGTACTAGATCCTGTGCTAAGAACTGAGGATACAAAGAAATGCAAAAACAGTTCCTATCCTTAAGGAGTTTACATTCAAACTGGGGGAGACAACACCAAAAAGGAAGCTGAAAAGCAGGGAGTTTGATAAGTTAGGGTGGCATAGTGGGAAAACAAAAGTCCAAAAGGGGGTGTCAAAAGACAGTTGGACCAGAAACCAACAGATAGTCTATATGTCCTATGTCATTAATGCAACATAAAGTAATCTAGAACAGGGGTTCTTAATCTATTTGTCTACCAAGGACCCCTTTGGCAGGTTAATAAAGCCTAATATTAGTAAAGTTTATTGTGTAAATTCATAATTGAAGGAAATGCTAACCCAGGCAGAAGTTAGTGAAATGTTTTTCCTTATTCCAGTTCAAGGACACCATGAAATACATCTATAGAGCCTTTTGATGGGAGGAAGTGACCAAGGGATGCTCTCAATGGGAAGGAAAGTATGAATAGGTGATTTAGACTACTAGAAAGAATACCCAACCAGGGAGACCTCATATGAAATGTGAATTATCAAAATGTAAGAGAGCTATGATTTTCCTTATGGTGACAAAAGTTTCAAGTGAGTGAAGAATGACCAGAAAAGATAAAGGTCATGTGAGACACTTAAAGACTGTGAAATTCTTACATTGTAATTGTGACAAAATAGAATGGGAAAGAGTTTTTAGACTTTCAGATTTTTGAGTTGGAAGAGATCTTAGACATAAGATACTGGGAAGCAAAGTAGGTATATCAAATAC